CAAGGAGCGTCCAGGTTTCTGGACGATGAGGTGTGGCCAAAGGCGCGAGGATAACAGAGCTGCTTCCTGTATCGGTGCTCTGTAGGGGCAATGGGGCGACTAAGTTTGTTTGTGTGTCTTTGGAAACTGCACAAGAGAGTTCGGTAGCCTTGCTAATGCATCTATGTCATGAGAAGGAACTGGGAGGAAAAACTGACCAAAAAGCGGTTTTCTTGGATGTGAGGCAGGCTAGGAGGGTGCGTTCAGGGCCACCGGGGAAAAACAAGCCTCCCTTCCGGTACACTTCTGCCTTTTCAGGCGGAATAAGGAGGTCCAGGGGTGAGACGGTAACATAAGGGAACAGCTAAAGAAGAGAGTCCTGGCTCTGAAGTGTGGAGGGAAGTGGGAAACACTGGCGCGCGTGGGACTTTAACGAGACCAAAGCAGTGAGTTAGGCTGGTAATCTTAACAGCGCTTCGGGTGGATGTGGCGATGCAGGCCAGGTGTTAGAAAAGCCGGGGAGAGAGCTGAAGTAACGGAGAACAAGGAAGGTTTGGGTGAGAATTCAGGGGTATGAATAGAAAGAGAGAATGTTTTGAAGAAGAAGTGGTGATATTTGAATGAAGTATTAAAGAAGGTTTACATTGTAAACAAAATACAGGTTAAATTACTGTGAAGAGTTTGAACTTTGAGAGGGGAAGAGGGGGTTGAGAGGGCATGAGAAAGGAAATTATTTTTCTCCAAATTTTTCCAAATGATTTTGAATGGAATCACGCCAAAAGCCTGTGTGGTGGAGTTTCAGGGAATGACCAAGAGCAGATATTTAGGAAAAGCTCGTGAGGGGTTAATTTTGATAATGCCACAGATGTTTTCTCCTTTTTTTTTTTTTTCAAATTCTTACTTAATGATGTCTGCATTCCTGTTTGCTTTTCTGACTGCCTTGTTTCAGGTTGCAGCAAGGAGCTATTTGGACAATTAATGGTAGGAGTGCTGTATTAAGTTATTAGCTGGTGTGAGAACCTTCTGTCTTAATCCACATCATTTAAGCTCCCTCAAAGTCTTCTGTCTTATACGGTTCAATATATTAAGTTGAGTTTGAAGCATACTTCTATTTTTAAGCTATCAAACTATTTTAAAATTCCTCTCAGTTTGCCAAAGCCTAGTGTTGGGCTATCCAGCTGGCAAGGCCACGTGCAGCACATTGTGTGAATTGGTCTCCTGTTATTTTTTGCCATGGTTTGCTGGCTTGCCTCCCAAATTGTCCTGACATTCATGGCAGATTGGCAGTATTGTCACAAGGACTTTACTTTTGCATCTGTGATGCAAATTCCACAAAAAATGCTTTGAACAAGATGTCCTGTTTTTGAAAGGAACAGGGAAGCAGGAACACCATCCTTTCTTTCTCATACCCAAAATGAACAGAAGTACTACTCCCTTCTTAGTGGGAATAACAGGCATGTCAGGTTCATGGCTGGTTTTGTTCTTCCTCCCCTTTTTTCCAAGAACAGTTTAAGAGAACAATCTTGCTAGTTACAAAGGCAGTTATAAATATTGGCACTAAGCAGCTATGGATAATTGAGCCTTAGAGCCCAACTTTATATTCTGTTTTACGATACATTTATCAGTCTATATACATAGACTATATATATATGAAGCTTGCCTGACATTCCTTGTGAGAAATGTAGTTGCTGTTAATCATACAAGCAAGACAAGTTTCTATTCGAAATGTAATATGAGAATTTATGATGGCAAGAATGCAAGCACTTAAGATTTTGGTTTTGTTGGGAAGGAAAGCTTGTCTTTTGGTTTTGAAAGGCATTTAGGATAATCAGTGCCACCACAACTTAAGTGCTTAATAATGGGTCTTAGTGCTGTGTTTCTGAGATTTCCTTTTTTGTAGTGAGGAGAGAGACTACTGTATGTGAAACAACATGAATGCCTCTAGACTTTTGTTTTTTCCCCCCTGTTCTGTGAAAGAGTTAGGCTGGCAATTCTGAGATTAACAAGGCAAAATGATTTACGCATGACTGTTTATGCTGCTGTTTTTCCTGGTTTGCTGGGCAGCTAGAGTTACTTTATTAACTGTTCCTCAGAGGAGCTGCTAATAGTATAAGAGCTGACATTTTTGGAACTGATCTAGTCATCCCTGAGCATGCAGAGTTGTTGAGAAGTAAAATATTCACAGTGGAATGATAAGTGGGAGTTCTGGGTATGTATATAATGCGTGAATGTAAGGGAATGGTTCCTATAAGAAGGGAATTTCAGTTCTTCAGTCAGTCTTCAATGACTTCTTGTCACTTACGTTTTTTTAATTGTAAACAATGCATGCCTTTGTTTCCTGCTTTCTTGTGTCTTGGGAATTCTATTTGCTGCTGCTGCAGTTTAAAATGGATGAATTTCAGGGTGCTTTTCAAGGTGCCTCATGGATCTTCAATGTTAGCAGATTTGTTGAATGTAGAAGTGATTGTTGACACTGGTTTCTTTGGTCTGCTTGAGGAACATCATTTTGCTGCAGTGTGATAATAAAATCCAGGGATTTTAATTCAAATGTCCCCAAATCTGTAGGAACTTATCTGGCATATAATGATTTGCAGGTTATAGAACATATTTCATTTAAAAAGCTTGCTGTTTTAAGTAATTGTTAATACTCTCTAGTTAGATTTCTGTAATATCCACTTGAGTTATGGAATAAGGAATTTGCTGAAGGCAATTTGGCAGATTAATTGTAGAGTCAGGAACAGAACCTGTTGTTCAATACTACTGGGAAACATCTGCCCAAAGATAGCATTTTTGTGTCTGCGGTTTTGTTTTTTTTTGTTTATTATAGATTTCACCCATGTTAAAAAAATAAATCTTTGAAACACAACAGTATCAGCTGCTATGATATCATACAGGTACATATTTTAATAACAGAACATCTTAGAAAAGTTAACAATGCCACTATTTTGTTTCACTCAGTAGTTTATTCATTGGCTTTAGCAAAAGAAAACTCTTGGTTTAATTAATAGATCTCTGCAGTGCTTTACCTATTTTCACTATTATAGTTTACAGCTTGGAAACTAATTTTGTAAGAAATAAACTGTTTTAAACATGGCCAGGCTCAGATTTAGTGTGGGGTGTATCACTTTTTTTTCCCCCCTGTAACTGATCCTAACTTTGGTAAGTAAGTTGAATTTACTAAACTGAGACCTAGCTTTCAAAAGGAACCATGCTTTGGATTGTCTTTCTACTCAGCTAATGCTGTGGTTCATAAAATAAACTGTATATAATACTACTGGGTAGATGCAGTATGGTAGTATTATATGCAGTGTCAGAGCTAATTACCTCCCACCAACACAGCTCACACACGTGGGCACACAGACCCTACTCACATTCTTGAGACATAAAAGTATACCAGCAGCTAGTGGTCAAGGAAGGAAAAGTGCAATAACAAAAAAAGACTATATTTCTATTGAGTACCTACAACAGAACTGCAGAAGGTTAAAGGTTATCAATTATCGTTTGAACTCTGTGAAACACATTTTTAATGGTAGCAATTCACTCTTGGAGGTATTTGTAGTGTTTCTGGCGGATTTGGTACTCAGCGTAGGTTTCTCTTCTCAGATAATCTCTTGGGAATTTCCTGGGTTGACAGCTCCTGGATTCCCATATTAAACAATGGGAGTGTGTTGGACTACTTCTCGGAGCGAAGTAACCCGTTCTATGACCGAACATGTAACAATGAAGTCGTCAAAATGCAGCGGATGACCTTGGACCATTTGAAGTAAGTTGTAATTTGGAACTGCTTCCTGTGCAGTGTCCTTTGTCCCTCCATCCGGAGGCTTTGATGGTTGAATGGAAGCGTGCTGGAAACCTCCTTCTGTTCTGTGCTTTTTAGTCCCACCACTTGCCAGGGAGCCCAGCTTTTTTGTATTTGGATGTCTTCTACTTCCTCTTACGCCATTTCAAGGAGGTGTTAAGCATGAAGGATTCCATGTATATCCTGAGATTCCAGTAAATCACCTTTTAGATATTTCTCCGAATTAGAAAAGCTGTCCTTTCATCTTCCCAGCTCAACAGAACCAGAGTAATGGTAATGTAGTTAAATGTTTTTCTGTGGTGACTAGGGTTTATGTTAGGGGATAGTAGAGTTCATAAATAGTTTGTGTTTCCATATCCCGCTGGCTATGTGCAATAATTAGTACTTAATTCCTCCAAAGAGCTGGCTTTTTAGTATGGATAATAAAAGTAGTGAGTGTTGTAAATAAACTGATCACAGATGGTTGTGTAATGAGATTGCAGCATGTGCAAGTTAACTTTCTTTGCAGTTCCCCATCTGCTACACTGAGCACAAGTGAGGTATTTGAGAACTATTTAAAGATTCCACAATATGATAGGGAGTGTGCAAGCTGAGCTGAAAGTTCATTGGTAAAGTCGCTTGTGCTCAGATGTGGTGTGGAGGGGCTTTCACATCGGACACACAGATGGTCACATCATACACTGGTCCTTTGTTTCTGTGTTTTAATGACATCTCTATGATGATAGATTGTGTTATATTTCTTGCTATTTATTTGTTTGCTAACATGTTCTACTTAGAAGTTGTGTCAGGTTGTTGTAACTCCCTTTGTATATGCAGCTAGGTTTTGATAGCTAGCTCAGGAAATCCCATGCCTTTATTTACTGCACATTATATTGGAGAGCTTCCAAAGCATCAGAACTTCATCCCTTTACTGCCAGGCCATTGGTAGCACTTCACATCCTACAGATTCTACTTTGAGGAAGGTGTTTATTCTGGTTGCTTCTTTTTCAGCCAGATGGTTGGAGTGGAGTACATCCTTCTTCATGCTCAAGAGCCCATTCTTTTCATTATCCGGAAGCAGCAAAGGCAATCTCCAACACAAGGTAAGGTCACTCAGTTCTTGTCACTGTTGAGAAGGACGATCAGCTAGTCGCTTTTATCCGTTCCTAATTTGTGTTTGAGCACTTCTGGTTCCCCTTTTCTGTCTTTTTCTTAAATCTAAATAAAAGGGTATGAGGCTTTGTGGTGGGGTGGAGATATTTTGTCTAGCAGAGTGATCTCCAGTGTGCTAATAGCAGGGATTGCCATCTTGTGGTGAAATGTGAAGAGTGCAATGAGTAAGTGCTGCCCTGTGGTATATTTTGCCACGGGAAATTGGTAACAGCATTCATGCCATGTTGTATTTATCTGTTAGGCTGTGCAAGAGTTTTCATTTTAATTATTGGAATATGAGGCTAACAATATCCTTGCTTGGGGCCGATGAGCTTAGTTCAATTTGAGCTAATCATCTGAAGTGGCTAGTATGTGATTTACTTATTTTGCTGAACCATGATTTGAGTTAGTCAGGGAGAGGGATCATTCATGCTTCTGTTTTTGTCACGTCACTTTCTTATTTTGTACTGTTTCCACCTTCAACTGTGGATTGGTTATACTGCTGAGTGGGATCTTGTCAGTAGAGGATGATGACCCATGTGAAAAATGACCATGAGATACTGCAAATGCTTGTTGTTTTGGTTGTTCCTCTGAGAACTGAGTGTTTTGGAATCGTGAGGGACTCTTGCGACAACTGCGCCACTCCTCACAGTGTCACTGATGACCTTTCCAAGTTTTAAATGAAATACCTTAGTTTTTTTCCATTTGCGTGCAACCGTCTTCATTATTTCCTTTTAACCTTAAATTTCTTTGTGCATGTGTGATTAATTAAAAAAGTAACCGCATTTCAATAGTTACTGGACTGTATTCTGTGTTTACTGCATGTATGTGTAAAATAATCTGGTTATTTCAGAGTAAGCTTTACAGAAAAGAAAGGCAGGTTTAATGCTAGTTATTTCTTAACTTTTTTTTTTAGTTACTTAGGCTCTGCATGTGCATTTTGGTCTTGTGCAGGAGTTTGCCTTGTTTAGCAATGCTTCTTATTTACTTATATCAGGTAATGGCCTCGTTTATATTGCAGTTGCATACTGAAAAAGAACATACAAGATTCGTCCTTTTAATAGATTTTGAGTTGTTTCTTTATTAAAGGTTTTGAATCTAGCTTTCAAAAGATGACCATGGAAATATTATGCAGCACTTAATTTCCTGTTTTGACACTTTTTAGATCAAGAGTAGAGTTGGGACTTCCACAATATGTGTGTGCAGACTGTCACTGTAATACAAAAGTGTGTTTGGTGGAACTTAACTGGGACTTGTTTGGTAATGTTTTTCCCATTGTGACTGTACAGTTTGGGCTAGATACCTTGCTTGAGCCACATGTTAGCTCAAATGTTACTCATGTTTCATTTTATCATGGTACAAATATTAGCATATTTGAGACATGAGAATGAGGATGGAAAACTAAAATTTAATGAGTTCACAGCAAGTGTTGAGTACTCAGGTAGAACTGGTGCAGGCCTGTCTTATGACTTCTGTGTGGTTTTTGTTTTTTTTTTTTTTAAAGTATATTTTAAATTCTTTAAGCCAAGTTTTTGCCTGTTTGAAGTGGTTTTGGAAAAATCTTTAGATCCAACGGTTAGGGAGAGTTACCTGTTTAGGAAAGTAGGCTGCTCTGGTACAGAGCTGTGAGACAGTAAAGCTGCTGTTCTGTGTCTTGCTCCACGTCTTAAAGAAATGCTGAGAATCCTCTTTCTTTTGAGGAGAGGTGGGTACCGGCTGTAATATGCACCCAGCTGTCTTGGTCTGTTAATTTAGGCAGGTGTCCAAGCTTCATAAAATGCAAGTACTGGATGAATTGGGTCCTGTCAGTAAAAAGGTTGAAACAGAATGTGTTAATACAGATGGAGGAACTGGGACAAATGTGTGCGCAGGTTAAGATCCTTAGGATTGTGAAGCTGATAGCATCGCTGTAGTTTCTCAACTGCAGAATGTTTGGCAGAGTATTACGGAGGCAATTATGATGTTCCTCTGCACTGCAGCTCTAATGAACAATAATTTTTGATGGGTCAGTAGAGCTTCCAAATCTGATTTATCAAATGCCTTTGGAAGGTCGTCTTTTTTTGGCAGAATGTTTTTAATTTAGAAAGGCATACCATGTGTGTGCTTAGCTGCTATTGGGTCTGGGAAATCTAGCTAAGAGGATTGTACAAGTTGAAGAAAGCTGAGGCCAGAAGAATGAGATCTTATGTTGTGGGTTTCTACCGGTAGCAAAGGCAAGTGGAACTACTTCCAGTGCAGTTCACTTGACTCCTCTTGTGTAGCTCTGAAAACCCCAACTCTTGTAAGGTCAATTATTTGTTTGCAGTAGGACGGGACGTAAAGCTGATGCTTTTCTATCTGTAAAGCAGACCTTGTGTTTTTTCCTCTTATCAGTCTGTGGCTAGGGTACAAATAAAGCACCTTGAAGGAAAAAGTTAAAAAGAGAAAATTTGGTGATGAGATGAATATTGCAACTTCTGCTGTTACTACTGAAATTCAGCAACAAATACAGAGTCTTCAGATGGGGCTTTAAACTGATCCTGCTTTTTTTTTTCTCTCCACAGCTATTCCATTGGCCGACTACTATATTATTGCTGGAGTGATTTATCAGGCACCTGATTTAGGGTCTGTCATTAACTCCAGAGTTGTAAGTGTTCTGTGCATTTGATGTATACCAGTTTGTATCTGCTTTTACTTTTGGTTGTTCCTCAGACTGTTTCAATCCCTCCTTCGCTGTTTTGAGGAAAGATCTTGTGTAGCATACAGTAACTTGAAACAAACCCCATTGGTTAATACGGTGTGCATCCCACATGGAAATGAAAGATCCTGGGAGAGTGCAATGTGGTCCAAAAAGTAGAATACATTGTTTAAGGATGAAGGATCAGGATAACTGAAGCTACACAATTGGCAGAACAACATGATGTTCGAATAATCAAAAGAAAAATTAAATGACAAATACATATGAAATAGTAATTAAATACATATTCAGTGAAGCTTGCTTTGGAATGTTAAAGTAATGTAATATTTCTCTTTAACTTAAAAACATAAGCCTCATTTAATGTGGTATTTCTCTTTAAATTGGATACTTGGGTTTGTTTTGATTTCTTCTGTTCTAGTAAACTACTACTTTTCTCTGTCAGTTTAGAAAAGCACTTCAGAAAAGGTCTTGTAAGAGCCTGTTAAAAAGATTACAGTCTTGGTGCAAAACTAGATGTCCCAAGTTCCTTTCCCAGAACAAAAATGAACATAGAACACTAATTTTAAAATCCCTGCTTTCAAAAATTTATACTGTATTTTCTCCCTAAATTCTGAACACTGCCTTATGTTCTTGTTCTGAAAGCTCACTGCAGTGCATGGAATTCAGTCTGCTTTTGAAGAAGCTATGTCCTACTGTCGCTATCACCCATCCAAGGGCTACTGGTGGCATTTCAAAGATCAAGAAGAACGAGGTATGATTCCTAGTTGTTCCTGTGTACTTTGGGAGAGGGAAGGTAATGTAGGGAGAAGCTTGAGGCAATGCACAGCGATGGTGTAGAGATGAGGTTAAGTGTCTTTCTGTCTGAAGGGTAAGTTAGTGCTCCCTGTCAGGTGGAAGGAATCTTGCTCTTCTGTGCTGGTGGGAATGAACATCGAGGCATGGGTGGGAAATGAAAATGGTGAGCCATGTGTGTCAACAAAGCGGGCAACTCTTCAACCCGCTGGAGACCAAAGTACATTTTCAGAAGCCAAACCAGTTTGTCAGGAGGTAAGAATTGTCCTTAACCTGTCTTCCACAAAAAAAATAACTGATGTCGAAGGGAAAATGTAGGTGAAGTTTAGAGGAGAGACAAATACCAACTTGTCATACAACAAAGAGCTGCTAAGAGAACAGAACTTTTAATACAGCTTTCTCTTACATTTCTGTGACTTGCAGAGAAAGCTAAACCAAAAGCCAAGAAGAAAGAAGAACCAAGTTCTATTTTCCAAAGGCAACGGGTAGATGCTTTGCTTTTAGACCTAAGACAAAAGTTTCCACCCAGATTTGTTCAGGTATGACACTTATAAGTCATAGTATTACTGTGACTTAGTAGTTAAGGCAGTCATAAGTACTTGAACAGCTGAAACTGAATGGGAATTTTGTGTGCTTTGTGCAATGGTAACATGGATTAGATAATAAATTTGAAATGGAAGGCTCTGATTGGAGTGCAGGATTCCCCTCTGTAATTGCAGGATTCATTAAGACCTTGGCAAAACTATGAGGGCAAATTTTGTTAAACAAATTCCTTATCTAATCGCAGAAGATCTGTTCTTGTCAGCTATCAAATTTTGCTGCTGCTTCCAGTTTCCTGCTTTGTGAGCTCAATCAAGCCACCACAGCTATTTTGTTTTAGTTACTCCATTGTTCTGGAGGCTTATTAATTAGCGTGGAAATTCTTGGCATTCTGTGAAGTTGTTGTGATTACCTCTGATTGTCTCTAGTAGCCATTTGTTCCACTAGGTCTTCTGCTTGGGAGCAAAGGAAATGATGTTTACAGCATCTCACAAAACTGTTTACTCCTCAGGTGTGGGAAAGACTGGCTAACTGCATTTCTTGTTTTAGTGCTTTTCAGTTGTCAGAGGAAAATCTGGATGTTATAAAATGTTAATTGGATTTTGTTTAAAATGTATTGAGTGATCCCTTTTACCCTCAACTCTTACATAGAAGGGCTCGTTGCTTGGTTTATATTCCTAAGTGAATAGTAGGAAGGGTTAAGAATTATGACTTTTGTTCCACTGATGTGTTGTTTTATTTTGTTCTTTCCTCCCCCACAGCAAAAGCCTGGAGAAAAGCCTATCCCAGGTAAAACTCTGATATTCTCACAAGACTTAGAAAATAGGCTCTACATAGCAGTGTCTTCCAGTTGCCATATAAGCTCCTTGCTGCTGCTACTGGGGTGGTTAGGAATTATGGCATTGCCTAATTGTGCAAAGTACTAGGTAAGAGTTCTCTGTGACAGCCAAAGTGAAACTGAAAAAATGTCTGTTCTACTCCTGCCCTTTCTGTCTGCAAAACTGTATTGCCTGAAGGTCCAAATGCAGGAAATGGTCTTTGAAAGCAGGAGGAGGGTAAAAGGGTGAATGAGGGAACAGTTTGGTCAGTCCAGCATCTTAGTGATTTTGCATGGTGCTACAAGCTCAAGAAAGCATGTGAAGGCTTTGAGTTGATTGTGAGCAACCTCAGAACAGGAAAATCATGAACTGTATCTCCTCAATCTATTCCACTTTTTCACCTGTATAGGTATGAATTTAGTCCTTAGTTATCCTTATACCTTTGAAATTAATTTTGCCCCTTTGATATCAACAATATTTTCTGAGTACTCTGAACAGTATTTTAGGAATAAAAATTGGAGGTTTAACTTTCTTTTGCTGTACTTCTTAAGTGGATCAAATCAAGAAGGAACCGGAACCAGCCCCTGAAGCTGTCAAGCCAGAGGAAAAAGAGACTGTAAAGAATGCTCAGCAGAGTGCTGGCGCTAAAGGACCACCTGAAAAACGGATGAGACTCCAGTGAAGGGAGAAGTTGTTACACATCTGGATTAGGCAGTACCTGGAAAACAGGCGACTCTTGCTCCCCTTTCTTTATATTTAAGCTCTTCAACTGAGACTGATGATTCAGGGACTGAAGTCCCTGTAACAGCTTTTTCTGTAGAAACCTGTCACGCAAGTGTTAATGTCAGGATGCGAGCTGCCTTAAAGAAAGTGATTTCAGTCTTCATCTTATTTTGAATGTTGGCTTCTGAGAATGGTTTTTACATGGACATATTTTGCAGCCTCCTGAAATCTTTACAGACTCTTGCATCCCATGTGTCTTGGTTTCCTATGTAAAAAAAACTTTTATATAAAAAAAAAAATCTGAATTCTTGGCAAATAAAACTCCTGGCTGCTGGAATTCCTTTCTTAAATGCTTACTTTGTTAGTAGCAAATATGCCATATGTGCTGGCAGCATTTTTTTTTGCTTGGATATTGGAATATATTGTGTGCTATTTTGAGGAAGAAAAGTTCAACTAAAGGATTTAGGCTGCCTGCTATAAATTGCTGTGCCTTTAGTATGCTTGGGATACAGATAAAAGATTTGATAACTGGAGGCTGAAATCCATGTAATTAGATGTCACACTGCTCTCAGTGTCTAAATGTTCCTAGGCACTCATTTTACTTAATGGCTAAGCTGGTTTTTATCATAAAAGCTAGTGTTCTGTGAGAGATTGATGACATAAAACAGGCTAAAATGTCTTGCTGTTGCACACTCAGTGAAGCTGTTTATATTTCTCCTTTTTTTCCACTGTAACTCAGGTATATAAATTGCATCTCTTCCTCTGTGCTTCTAGCACTTCCTTGCTGCCTCTGATCACCTTGATTAGTCATCTGCCTTTTAGACCTGAGGAGGTAGGGCAGTGGAAGAGAAACATCACTGACAGCTATACACTTTGCTATTTAAGCATGTTGCTTACACAAACTATTTTTTTTTCCAGAAAAATTAGAAGTCATCCGTTGCAAAGAAATGACTATTGGTTTTGTTTTTTCATTGAAGTAATGGAGCAACCCTTGAAACAGCTTGCTTTCTTTTCACAACTGTTACCTGCTTTCTTCTAGTAAACTGTAGTAAGCAAGAAAAAGGTCTGTACATAGCAAACAAAATGTAGATAGGAAGGAAGACTAAGATATGTGTAGATAGCTGTGTCAAATTTGTTTTGAGGTTATAAGAGACCCTTTTTCTGTTTCAGTAACTAATAAACAGCTCTGGGTAGCTATTGAATGATGGAAAGACCCATGTAACTTTTGTCCTGTAATCCAAAGCTGTAATGTTAAAGATGTAGATAAGCCAATAGCTGTTTGCTGTTGATGCAGATACAGACCTAAAATTCATATATTGGTGTACTTAAGTGTGTATTAGCTTTATTTTATATCATGTGGGTCAAGTTTGAACAGCTGTTTCTCCAAATGTTGATAGCAGTAGATAATAAGCTAGTGTGAACTCTTAAATCAAGTAAAGATATAGAAAGCAGTTATTCTGGGATGCTCAAAACAAGACAGAGCTAATTATTCAGCATTGAATAACTACAAGGTAGTGTGAATACACTTAGAACAAAAGGGTGTTGATTCTTTCTTGTATTAAAGAAATTCCTCTGAAAGCAAGGAGCTCAAGAAGCACCAAAGCCATCGTCTCATCCACCCCCATGATGGAAAGAGGGATCTCCAGAAATGAGGCATGAGTGGTGAGGAACCTCAAGAGTCCTTGCTGGATTTTTGATGTTCAGAATAAGTCCTTGGAAATGGCTGTTAAAGGAGTTGAATTTCTCTGTAGTTATTCGTATTACTAAGAACCTGTATGTTGTTTGGAAAAACGTAAGTGAGAAAGATGACTAGACTGCACTGTAATGAAGATCTAGGGTGTTTTGGTTTTTTTTCTGAGGGAGAAAAATTAACTACTCGCACACCAAGGAAAGATTTAACATTACTAGCAGAAGATATCTTGCTTATTGCTGAAGGCACGTACAGCTGTGGTCAAAAATGGATGCTAGAACAGATACTATGAGCAAAGTATTCAATCAGTCACTGGGCTTCACCTGAAACAGTGTTTTGTACAGCTCTATGTCTGAAAAAGAATTCTCCTGAAGTAAAGAGGTTTGAAGAAGGGCAATAAAATGAGTAGGAGAAAGTTTCTGCTATGAAGCCACTGGGAGTACCAAGACTTTAGCTCCTTAGGAAAGAAAAGACAAATATTGAGTCTTTATAAAACTGAGTACGGTGAAGCAAGTAGGAAAGTAGAGAACTCTTGTTCTGTCTTGTAGTACAGGGGACAAGTTAATGAAGCTGAATTGGAGTTACATTTAGACTGAATCATTATACTCAATGCTCAGAATTTGAGCTGATTCAGAGATGAGGGTGGAACTCGAAGGGGGCAGACTGTCCTCACATATGCATCTCTTAACAGCCTTTTTGCTTTCTGCAGAAATGTCTGGTATTGGCTGGGGTCAGAGAGCATTAAAAAGGATGGACTTCTGGTCTGATCCCGTCTGAGTTGAGGTGCCAGCGTCTAAGCTATTGAGAGGATAGGAAATGGCTTCCATGCATGAAACAATGCATTTGAATGCGATAAGCCTTTTCCAGGGGAATGATCTTTTCCTGAGAGAAGTATATTATAAAGCAGTAAGGGATGTTACCAATGAGTGTGTCGATTTCTTAGTAGCTGTCCTTCAATGCTGAAGGTTTGCCGAATGAGGGGCTGAAATATCTTCTGATCCTGTTACTTGCTGACAAAATACTCTAAAATAATTTTATCGGTTAAGTGAGCTTTGAGATTAACTTACTCAAGTGACATTATGTCAGATATTACTGTTAAACTCCAAGTAATGTACTGTCAAAAAGCTGTTAAGCAGCTATCTTCTAGTCAGTAATGTTTTTCAGTGTATGAGAATCGAAGCCTTTACTCTCTGGTATTTATATGCTGTCTCTTGGTTTGGTGCCTGAGCAGTGAAGTCCAAAGTCCTTCAAAGGACCGTCAGTATTTGTAAAGCTTATAGATGAAAGGGAAATAAGCAGTTCCAAAATTTGCCCTGTGTGTCACTGTTTTGTGTAAAGGAGAGATCTGGTTGTACAGGAGAGCTATCTCTACTTTTGCTCTTAGATAATAACCATTCAGACTTCGAAAGGGCTTTTCTTGGCCTAAATCACAGGGTAGCAGGAGCTAAAAATGACCTAGAACTGTAACGGAAACATTCTCCTGAGAGCCTGAAAGTACGTATAAATGTGCATATACACATGAACAGATATGCATACATGTATATACATGTGCATATACATACACATACATGCAAAAATCCAACCTGATTGTTGGAAGAGGGGCAGTCTAGCTACCTCAATTCACTGTGTAAAGCTAGTGATGTCTCAGATGCAGCAGAAATACTGTCTTTTTCAACTCTTCACTAAGTAAGGTCTGACCAGGCTATGTGTTATTCTCGCCCATTCCTCTTTGCCGCTGTGCCCCCACACTTTGGATTTTGGTAACCTTTTCCTAGCAAAGAAAGCTAGGTGCCATTTGGACAGTCAGTACGTGTTGTTTGCCAGAGCAAGCTGTACTTGGAGCGAGGTTAGAAGGGTATAGGCAATAGGAGGGACAAGGCAAAGGGGAGAGATTAGCTTTATTTTGAGACATGGAAGTTCCCTGTGAGAAAAATGGTGAAGATACGTTACGCAAATAGATTGTGGCTTCACTGAACCAACAGATGGCTTCTGAACAAAAGCTGATGTGATACACTTTATCAATTTTTTTGATATTTTTTCATTTGCAAAGCAAATGATGATAACGAGGTGTCAAGATAGTTTTTCTTTTTTCTTGGGGAGGAAGGTGAATTTTTGATAAAGTGTGGCTTTGGTCCTGCAATCATGCATAGTACAAACAAATGGTCACTTACGTGACAAGTGTCCTTCTGTAGCCTAATGTGGATCATAGATGGATGGGTGGTGGGGAGAAATTTTCACAGTGGGATGAGTTATGATGTATTATTGATCTCTAAACAATCGGAACGCTTCATTTCTTTCTGCCAGGAAAGTGGATTTCAAACTGCGATCCACAAGGCTGCTGGGGGTCTGTGACTTGTTCCTAAACACTCAACGGAAGGTAAGTGAGAAAAGTAAACCTCTTGCTGGTACGATTCAATTCTATAGGAGCTTGCACCTTCACTGGAAATTTTAGGGGGCTACAAGATTGAAAAAAACCCTTGAAAAACACTGAGGAATCATGGGAAAGCCAGTTACACCTGCCAAACAAATGTTTCAGCAGTTGAAGTAGCTACAGAGTGCTGTGATATTTTTTCCCTGCTCTACTGTAAGGTCAGTCATTTTTTCTTTCAACCTATTCATTGTCATATAATGGGAATCTTTCCCTCCCTCCCCTTTGATCTTTACCTGATCAGAGTACAGAAGTACAAGGCTCTGGTAACCTGAGCACAACAGCGTCATCCCTTTTTATGTAACCTCAAGGCTGAAGGGCTTGCTTAGGTGCTCAACACAGTGTCGCAAACTTACGTTGACACTTCCCCCAAGAATAACCTGCCATGAGTTCAACAACGGAACCAGAGTACTTTCTAGTCCTAACTACATAGTTATATTTATATTAAAAGAGAAAGAAAGTAGTAGGCAACTTCGGGGGGGGGGAGGGGGGAAGACATGGCTCTAGCAAGTTGGCAGAGTGATTTAGTAGGGCCTTTTCTATAACTTAGGGAGTGGTCACACAGCAGAAGTATATGTTTATAAATAGTGCTACAGATACCACACACAAAGATTATGTAACAGGATTTTTCTATTGTAGTTATTGTGGTCTGAGTTGTATTTATTTCAAAAGACATAATCTGATGTAGTTCACAGCCCTGGAATGCAAAACTGATACTTTAAAAGTAGTGGACAATTATTCATAACTAACTGCACATAAAAGACTTCACAGAAAATACTTTCTGTAATTTTAAAATTAAAGCTAATAAGAAAGTAAATCTAAGGCTAACACAGGTCATAAGTTTGTTCACTTTTAGGTAAAGCAGTAATAAATTTCAGACAATATACAGTTATGGATATCTAGAAAGATCTTTCCAGATGGGTATCTAGAGAATAGTTCCTAACAGAATAGAAGCAGGCGTCCTCCTGTTTATATTCCTTTAATCTGAGGTACTGTATTACAAGGTGTACACTACTAATGCTGGCCACACTTGCAATGAATGAGCAAGGTGTTAATTCACAGAATCTGAAGCCCCTTTGGACAGCTGTTGGTATCCTCCATAGCTGTTGGTTAGGCCTGCCACGTGCCCAGCTCAAGGTACCAGCACACTCAGGACCCTGGGGCATGAGGCAGCAGAGGGAGGCTCTGAGCACTCTGCCAGCTGCTTCTCTCACTGCTCAGCCTCCTGAGGGGCAGTGCCTGTCTCGGGCAGTTTGAAATGCTAAGTGTTGCTGCCCGTGCTAGGGTGATGGTCAGCACCCAGAAGTTGGTGCCGAAAGGCAGGATACCTGAGATGGAGATGGGGTGGTGGTGGGAGGGTGCACCTCCTGCAGCTGAGAGAGCATAAGGGCCACAGCAGGTTGGACTTCATCCCAGACGTGCTTTCAGTGCTGAAAAGAAAGTTGTGAAGAGTTCCCAAAAGATAACAGCTTTGGCTATGTCAAATCTCAGCACTACGTGCCAAAAAACGCGTGTGCATAGCTGTGCTGTACAGGACATCCTGTCTTACCACAATCCAGATCACTGTCTTATAGCTGTGTCTTGATGGAGCTGTTCCCTAAAACAGGGATGGCAGCCAAGGGGTACATGTACCTGTAAGCTCTCTCTTCCCAGTGGTCTGTGAGCACAAACCTTTAGAAAGGCCACGGTGTGGGAAAACAGCTGTTGCATCAGCGATGTCTGTAATTAAGGCACATTGCTGTAGGTATGTAGCAGCTGTGGCGTAGATAGGCTTTATGCTTTTATACTTGGTGCGATTAGTTTGCCTCTATGTTATTGAACGTAGGGGAAGTGAATTCCTCCCTGGTTCTACCTTTTCCCTTGGTGTGCATGTGTGTAGCTGTAGTAGCTATAGTAAGGCACATGCTAAGAAAGGGCACCAAGGAGTGCTATGTCCTAGTAACCAGCTAGGAGACTGGTATTTCTGTACTTCTTCATTTCTGACCCTAAGCTTTTCCAAATATTCTTTTGAGCTGAAATAGCCTGTTCCTGATCTACACTCACAAATTACCCTTTAATAAAAAAAGTGAACAAAGCAAAAGCCAACATTTGGGCTATTAAAACAGATTTTTCTCCCTTGTGGCTTAACCAAATGATCCCTTTGCTCAACACAAACATCCGTGACAAGAAGCGTGAAGCTGAGCCGTGGCCCCTCCTCGCTATGTCTGCTCAGAAGGAGAAACACCCATTTATTTGAAAATGAAGATTACAAAAAAGCTGGGAACGTGCTTGTGTTAGGCTAACTTATTTGTTCCTCCCCACGAGAGCCTCCGTACATGCTCAAAGAGTGGGGGATGGATGTCACAAGGCACCCTCGCAGCCCTCTGAGGTGTACCCCTAGGCAGTGGGGTGCCGTTTCCGCAGGGGGAAGGCGAAGGGGGCCACAATGCCACCGCTCCTCCCCAGCTGCGGCCCTCCCCACAGAGGGGCAGTTGGAGGCCTTGGGGTGGTTCCCTCCGGGCGGGGCCCTTCCAGGCTCCATCCCCTCACAAAGCGGGGCGTGGGGTGGCTCCGGGCAGCAGCGATGGGGGTGCTGCTGGGGCTGCTGGTGCTGCTGGGCCTGGCGGGGGGCCCTGCCGCCTCGGGGGACCTGTCCGGGGAGCTGCGCGTCACCGCCACGTGGGTGACGGTGCCACGGCAGTTGAACCCCCCGTCCGGCACCAAC